TAAAATGCCTGAGACTAATGACTTAAAGAAGGAAAGATTTACTTTGGCTCGTAGTTTCAAAGGCCTCACAGTGTAATCCACTTGCTCCAATTCTTTGAGTTGGAAGTGAATCAGATCATCACAGCAGTGGAATCAAGTGAAGGGGGGGTGCTCACCTCATGGGGGCCAGGAAGTAGAGAGAGACACTGTCAGAGAGCAAAAGGCCAGGAGGGTTGTGTCACCAAGACTTGGCCCTCCAAGGAGACCTCACTTCTAAGCCTCCATCACCTCCCAAAAGTCCATTTAGCTATAAATCTATCTGTGGAAAGATCAAACCTATAACCCATGCAGCCTTGGGGAATATTCCAGATTCACATTATACCAATTGTTAATCACAGAGCTTCATCCCTTTCCCAGTTAGGGCATCTAAGTGACTTTTTGTTGGGAAGCTAGTACTAGTGCTTCCCCAGTATCCAACTGGCTCCAAGCTGAGTGATACATAAAACCAACTACTATCGACTGTACGCAGCTTGCACTGTGCCAAAGGTTCCTGTGCCAAAGCATAAACCCCACTGTGAGGTATTAACAGAGCAGAAATTTAATCTGACTCTAATGTTTAAAAGGGAGATCTTTGGGAGGTGATTAGCATCAGATAGAAGGTTGCCAAGGCTGAGCCTAACAGCTGAACCGTGGTGGTTTTATAAGAGGAGAAACAGACCAAACACATGTGTGCACACACATGTGTGTGCAAATACACATGCCGGCATGCTTGCACTGTGTATGCTTCCTGTATTTTCCCTAATGCATTGCATCTCCATGGGACATTGCCAGCAAGGACTCTACCAGGTACAGACCTATAACCCTGTACCCCCAAAACCATGAGTCCAAATAAACCTCTCCTCTCTCTGAGTAGCCTCCAGCACTTCATGGCAGTGATCCAAAGCAGACTAATAAGCAACCATGGTTGTGAGCATATTAGTTTTGAAAAATCATTTCATATAATAACAGGTACTCTATTGCTTTATTATTTGGGGGTTTTCCACAGTTTTCATTATTGAATGTAGAGGATTTCTACAAATTGAAATGAAAGTAATTGTGTTTTAGTAAGAAAAGTACCTATTTGGCCATCAACCATTATCATGTTGGCAAAAACTTACACTCAGCTATGGTTTGAAAAACTATACATTAAAATAAATAGCCAGTGTGCCATTGGGAATGATACCTGCAACCACACCCCAGCAAGGCACACAGAGACTCACATTACCTAAATAATGTGGAGATTGTGTTCACCAAAAAATTACTCCTAAATTATAGGATGATTATAGTCCACTCCTTATGTGCTGGAACAGAATTCCATTTTCCAACTTTAGATATGAAATAGTTATTGAAAATACTATTTTTGTGTTCATGAAAGCAATATGCATTCTACCATGGAATATCCTAAAAGTAAGCATCATTCTCTCTGCATGAAATTTACAATAAATTTTAGGCACAATATTTTTCTCTACACATCCAATGGAGCTAATATTTATGCTTAGAATAAAAACAGAACATATTTCTTTTGTTACTATATTAGGAGAGGCCTCAAAAGAGATGAATACTGATGCCAGACTATTCATAAATAAAGTTAATTTTGTCTCTTTATGAGGTGCTCATAAATTATTTTTACTCTTTGGCTGAGGAGTCTCATTCCCTCATCTAATTTATATCATCCAGTTATTTTGAGTCAACAAGAAAAATAAAGCATAACTTTTGAATCTGAGGTGCTTTCTATACCGACGATAGCACGTCAGATCTACAAATCCGGAAAAGGTAAAGATCACCTTGGGTGCTATGGGGAAGACATAGACAAAGTGATTTAAATTTTTAGTAAGGCACATTGAGAATCAGATATGTAGAGGAAACCCAGAAAGTGGTGCATACTGAATTTTCAAGAGATAGAGAATTTACCTGGGTTTTCTGGAAGTCTTTTATGCAAAATCCCTCAGAGGTCTAAACATTTTGGTCTTTAAATATTTAAATAACTTGTAAATGTGTTTCAATTCTAGGAAATTTTAGGGAGCAAAGCTTCTGACTAGAAAATCACCCTGATAAGGAAACATGGGGGGAGAAGCACTACATAGGGCTCCCTGGATGTATGGAGCCCAGGCAGAAAGAGAAGCAAGTGAACAGCTGTGCCCCAGGTTTGGGCTTTCCTCAGTCAGGCAAGTGGAAGGCTGGTGGAGGTGTGGCCACATCCCAGGGCTTGCATGGGTCCTGATTATTTGAAAGTAACAAACCTACTTTGGGAGAGGCAAAGTCAATTTTTGTCATGTAGCTTAAGGGTCAGAAATATGGAACAGGGCATGCACAAAGGGATACCAACTCTAGTCACAGCCATCTCCAGTAATGCCAGTGTCTGCTGGTGTTCCATGGCTTGTGATGCTCCTTGTCACTGAAAGGTACCAGTCCCCACCATGTTTAGTTGCCAGAGTGCCAGCTAAGGAAACCCTCCTGCTGCCCAGAGGTAACCTAGTGATTATTTCTCAAAGAAAGAGCAGTACCAGTGTTGGGAATCACAGCTCTGACCAAAACAAAATTGGCCTGCTATGGTCAGGAGGCTCCCTTTATTTTTACATGGTGGAGAACCACAATAGCAAGTTACCTCCTGTTGAGCTCTGCACTGGGCATGAAATCCTTCTGGACTTTTTATTCATTTTTGTGAAATGACTTAACTATTGGAGCCAAGTGAAAAGAAAAAAGCACACCCTGTATGTTCCTGCATAAACAAGCTTTCTTCCTTTGTTTTGAATGGTGATTTGGACAGGGATAGGCAAAGACAGAACCCTATGGGTAAGGGGAAATGTACAGCTTTATGAGTTCTATATCTTGTATCTAGATGTTTGCTTAAAGCTTCATGCACTCAAAGGTGGGGTTTTTGGAGTTGCTTGGCTCTAGAGTTTGTGAAGATGAATTATGGCTGTCTGATAACTAAATTAGCCCACTGGTTGGTTTAACAAAGTTCTCGCTATGGATAATGAGAAAGTCCACTCTGGGTGTTGGTGGTACCAACCAATAACCTTGTAGCCTGGAAGGAATACAAAGGAACAGAAGAAGGCAAGTTGGCTGCTTCACTGCTTCCTCCCTGCACTCCATGAACTGTTTCCTCCATGACTTATCTGTATGCCATACTGCCCTGCTTTAGAGCCTGCTGAGTATGGACTGAAATTTCTACAACGTGTAAGTGAAAACAAACCTTTCTTCCTTTCACTTGTGAGTATTGGGTATTTTGTCTCAGCAACAAAAAGTAGGACAATTGTCAAAGGCCATCATGCTGTGGGCCTGGGAAGTAGGACCGGCATGCTAGGAAAGCTCTCCAGGTGAGTCAGCCGGAACACAGCTGTGACAGTTCTCTGAGTCTGTGCATTCTAGATGCCTGCCTTAGCTCAATTTGCCTTCTTCTGTGAGTCTAGCAACTGCCACAGGCACCAGAGAAAGAAGGTGCTCTCTAATAACTATAGTTACCAATGAATGAAGGCAGGAGATGGGAGTTTCTAGGAGAAAAGACCAAAGCAAAGATACAGGCTGACAATAGGCCCCACAAAAAAAGTATCAAAAGCCCAGACCTGTTGGAAGCTGAAAATTTGGACAAAAGCAATACCTTTGGAATTATGTTGATGGTATGTAGGATGCCAACTGGTGGTAGAATTGGAAGGAGAAAAGAGGGTCATGAATGATCCTGAAGCAGATGGAAAATAGATATCAGGAAAGTAAGCTGGAAAATCAGTCTTTGGAGAAAGCATAACCAGTAGGGTTTGATCATGTGAAGCGCTTTATTGATTCATTAGAGAAAAGTTTCAACTCCCTTAAATCAAGGTCACTGATATTTGTTATAAAAGCAAATAGCTCAAAGAATGTTTTAAATTTGTTTACTATATAGATAAACTGTGAGTAATACAGATTATTTTCAGAATAATACAGGTATCTAAGTACAATACTGGGAGAATCTAAAATAAGTTGCTTTGCTGGAAATCTCCCTAGTGATAAGCAATTTCAACCCACTTAATGAGGAAACTGAGGACAAAGAGGGTAGTATTTACCACTCTGCAGATGCTGAGGGCCCTCACTGTGTACCAGGCACTTGCTCGGTGCTGGGGGTATGAAAGCAAACAGGATACAGTCCCCGTACTCAGGGGATTCTTAGCCAGGATAGCAGAGGATGATGTCTGAGAGGCAGGACGTTGGCCCAGAGCACAGTGAATGTTGTGAGAAAAGCATGCTCAAGCTGCACATGGACCTCATCTAGGTTTGGGAAAAGTTCTCAGAGAAGGGTGTGTGCCAGCCTACCCGGGAAAGATGAGCAGTTAGACAGACACAGTGGTGGTGAAATAGAGTCCCAGGAAGGCTATAGTGAGGAAAGTCTGGTGCATTTAATACCTGAAGGAGTTAAGAAAGCAAGGGACAAGGGAGTTCTAACCCCAAGGAGAGCTGGGAGGTGAAAGCCTCCTGGCACCCACTTCAGTGCTACTTTAGAACACTCTGCCCTCTGCCTATGAAGATTCAGTGCAGTAAGTGATATGGGGCACAGAAGATGCACACATACGATCCGTGCATCTCTGGGTATAGGCAGTAAAGTTGACCCAGCATGTACTTGCGATTGTTTTTGTCCCTCTTCCTGTCCCCTTTTGAGGAATCATTAGGTTGCATTAAACCTCTTCATTTCCTTCCAAAATATTTGTATCTCTCAGGTCACACCATAAAGCTCATGAGCATAGAGGAATTTTAAAGGATCATTTTGTTGGCAGCCAAAGGGACAGAGGGGACAAGTGCAGGTGTGGGTCCGTGGAGACAACTGCCACCCTGGTGCAGCAAACTGGCTTTCTTTGTACTACTGACATCAATTCTTAACGATGTCAGAAATAAAATAATCATTCTGCTAAGACAAACATCTTCTGCCAGCCCCCACCACTGATGGTACATGCAGAAAACCTAACCAGTCTCCTCTCAATGTAGCCGCATAGCCAAAGCCAAAAATAGAAATGAACTCTTATCAGTGTTTATCGTCCCTATATTATCTCCGTGTGCAGGGAAGCGTCCTTGCGTGCCAAGCGGTCTCGAATCCCTTCCCAGCGAGGTCCCCGCAGCGCCTCACCAGGCGCAGTCCTCGCTCATCTTCTCAGGCAGGGCCGTCTGGCATGTACTCGGAGGGGTGAACACTGCGGGGTCTTTGATGCCCAGCTGCACATCGAAAAAACGCGTGGACAGAACAACACTGAAATTTTGGATGAAGGTTTCCTGGACGGGATAACAGTCCTTGGCTGTATAGACCCCAATCCAAGTCTCATCTAGAAGAGAAAGAAAAGTGACTTCTTAATAGCGACAGGCATTGTGCCTCTAAGTTTTTCTTTTCCTATTTTAAATACACGCAGTGTAAAATGTATCATTTTAATATTTTTAGGTATACAGGTTGAACACATTAAGTACCTTTATAGTGTTGTAGAGTTACGACCATATTCCTCTAGAGAACCTTTTTATGTTCTAAAACTGTCCCATGACATGAGTGCTTGTGCCTTTAAAAGGATCTCAGAATTATGGGGAAGAGCTTCAGGTGAGTTGGACACTCAGAGTACTGGAGAAGATCTGGTCACTGAAATTTTGGAAGTGATGTGGGAGAAGGAAAAAGCAAGACCTGATTCAGATCTGGGCCTCGGCAAAATGCCTTCCCATGTTACAAATGATAGGGTGGTCATAGAAAGTCAAAACCCACAGTTAAGTCCGAAAGAGCCAGCGGGGAAAAAATGTCCATGGGGAACAGAAGGCTGATGCTAATATTCCAACATCATATAATTAGCAAGATGTGTGGGGATCTAACTGGGCTTTCACCTATCTTAGCTTATAATTTCCCTGTCAACTTTCTTCCTTAAGAGACCTAACTTCCCCCAGTTCCCTCCACAGACCAAGGTGCAACACTCAAGTCCTCTGGATCCTTACAGGTTCTTGCCGACTTCCGGTTGGACCACTCCTGGACAGTGATCTGCTCCTGGGGGCCCCCAATTGAGTACTCATCTTCAAAGGTGGAGTTGTCAGGAATATCAAGAGGGTCCCAGGCTATAGTCAAGGGGATCTTCGAACACTGTTTGGTGGCCTGTTCAATCTGGAACATCACTCCATCCTTATAGAGTAAAATGTATTCAAATAATCTGGAAGGGACATCAAAAGAAAATAATTTGGGACCTTTATGTTTTAATCATCATGTATACTACCAGTGTAAAAAGTCCAGAAAGCTTTGACAGAAAATACTTCTATAACTGAAAAAGATTTTCTTGCTAAGAAATTGTTGACTTACTCATAAACAATATTTTCACCAAACAACCAAATAGTAAATAACTAAACTTCAAGGTCAGGGCCGGGGAGATAGCTCAGTAGAATAAGCACTTCCCTGGCAAGTGCAAGGCCCTGAGTGTAATCCCCAGTACCACAAAAATAAATAAATAAATAAATAAATAAATAAACTTCAAGGTTGAGCAAGAATAGAGCTACTGGACAAAGTCTTACCAAATACCTATAATATGGTAGACAGGGCTTAGGATGCAAACACAATGAGAAGAGGGCCCTGAATTCGCCCCTGTCTTGTGATCTTTCCTTGAGCCCCAGGTACATGCAAGGATTTGATTCTCAGTTTGGTTGAGATTTTGTTGCAGCATAACATCAACAAAGTTAGAGAAGTATATTGAATGTAAAGGATAAACCTGGTGAGGATGGGATGGGCGGCACCTCATTGCCTCAACAGCCTCTCATTGGTTAGCCATGAGCTTTGTGGCACACAGCTGCCCAGAACACAGATGCTGTTCATGTTTCCAAGGAGGCCAAGACACCACGCACCAAGTTTGAGGGGCCCCTAGCATCACTGGCTTCCCAAAGCTGACTCTGCCTATAAGCTCTCAGCCTACTCTCCTAACAATCTGTGGGTGGGTGTGGGGGAACTTTGGCTTCTGGCACCCACCCTGCTGGCAAACATGTCACTGCCAATCCAAAACTCAAGGCACTGAGGCCACTGAGCATGATAAGCATGGCAGCCTCGTCTCAAAAAATGGAATTGCCAGCAAGGTACGAGAGTGAGAAAGTTAGCACAGCTTTCCTCAAGCAAATGAAGATGCCCCACAGTGGATGGGGGCAGGGCAGGGCTCCATACAGAGGCCCTGCCCATTCCCCAGAACTGCAAACAACCCTCAAGATGACAACAGAGGAGCTGTGTGTCATGCTCATTCCATTAGAGAAGCATTCCTGGAGGACAAGCACTTGCTAGTCCAAATCCGAGTTTAAAATTTACATTTTAAAGAAAAATATATTACAAACAGTAACACTCTGTATAGCAAAAGAATACAATTGCCAGCATTCAGTTTAGGTTTCTGTGAGTTGTTATTCCATGAACATCACCTCATTTTTACACTCAGATATATCATCATATGGTGAATGAAAGCAAGAGACAGGAAAAGGAATACTGTGGGACAGTCCTGCTTCAAGGTTGTATATGGTGCGATTTTTGGACTTATGTGCAAACATGAGAAGCATAGAATTCTTTATCCTATTGTTAAAATAT